GAACTCACGAACCGCAAGATCGTGACCTGGCTGAAGTCGGACGCTTAACCGACTGCGCCACCCAGGCGCCCCAAGCCCCCCAATTTTTGATATGTGTGTGCAGAAAAGGGCAAGAAAGACAAATCTAAAGTGTTAGACTGTGTGGGCTTGCTCCCTGTTCGCAAACCCCTCCCCATAAGCTTTTCAGTATTATTTGAGTTTCTAAGTTGGGAGCGTATGAAGTAAAAATTAACTGGAGATTAAAGATTTGAAATGTACAGCTTGGGGCACGCCAGGGATCGCTCCTGCTCATTCCTGTATTGGGTTCTTGAGTCTCCTTGTGAAATGCTTCAAGGTCCCTGGTGGAGACTACAAAGCAAGAGGGGGTCTGATGGGCTCCCACTTCTCTGTTGATGTTGACTTCATGAGTGCTGGCCTCCCGACTCCCTTCCCCCGCATCCCAGGCTCCATGGCTCATCGGGGTCTGTCCTGTTCCCTCTGCAGACCCAGCATGTCCGGACTCCACCTGGTGAAGAAGGGCCGAGAACTAAAGAAGGTGGACCTGCACAGAGACTTTACCGTGGCCTCCCCGGCTGAGTTTGTCACGCGCTTCGGGGGGGATCGGGTCATTGAGAAGGTACAGATGGGGTCCTGGCAGTCGGGGTGGGGTGGGGCCCCTCCTCCCAGCTGGAGGGGAGAGAACCTACTTCAGGCTCACATAACTCTGTAGAGAAAGGGCCAGGCCACCCTTCCGTGAGCACTTGCTGAGTGCCACGTGCTGGAATTCATCAGCTTTCTACCCTCTCAACAGCCGGAAGCAACAGGTGCATCACCCCCATTTCATACAAATGGAGACTGAGGTCTGAAAAGACCCCACGGTGCTTTCATGCACGGGGCTGCTTTCTCGCTTACTGGGGGGCAGGCCTAAAAGCCCCGCCCTGCCCTTCTGAGGTGTAGAGCTCCTTCCGGGAGAGGAGGCCCATGTACTGAATAACGATAATGAAGGGAAACCGCTACCTGTGGCCATTTAGAACGGCTTTTCGCATCGTTTCCCGTTCCATCGGGTTAAGGCTCTGGGCCACAGACTGGTAATTCCCGTCGTATTCATGGAGAACAAAGATGCAGAGACTTGACATTGGTTGTCCAAAGTCCCGTGGCCAGAGAGGGCCAGAGTCGGGATTTGAACCCAGGTCAGTTTGACCAGAAGGCCTTGTTCTTTTCCACTATTACTCCAGGGTGGTGGTGGGTAATTATAACAACAGCAGCTACTGGCTTTTGAGGGCCTGCTCTGCCGGGCACCCTGGGAACTGCTTTACCTTATCTTACCTCATTTAACTATATACCCCCGCCCCCCTGCCGAGTCCTGTCGGGCGATATTATTTTGCAGAAGGGGAAACAGGCCCAGGGAAGGGAGGTGGCTTGCCTGGGTCTTACAGCTGGTCAGTGGCAGAGCTGGGATTTGGACTCTGGTCGTCAGAGTCCAGACCCCACGTCCTCTCTCCAGCGTCCTAAGTGCAGTATTGAGCGTTAGAGACTCATATGGGCTCCTGAGCCTGGCAGCCAACAGACTCTTCTGCCCTGGAGCCTCAGAGTTAGAAATTCTTGGGCAGGGATCCAGAAGCTACGCTTTTGTCACACTTGCCAAGGGGACTGTGTTGCAGCCGGCCCAACTGATGGTGGCTGGCACGCAGCCCTGGGGAGCCGAGAGGCTGGGTGGCCGCTGAAGGCCTCAGCCGGGAGCTGCCTCACTTTATGACTTTGGACTTGACCGTGGCTTGCCCTTTCCCCTAGATTCCTTGTGGGAAAGCTGCACCTGTGGAGACTAGAACAGCCAGCCAGCCCACAGTGGCCTTCTCCCCTGATGGAGCTCCCAGAATGTGCTGGGACAAATGGGGGCCAGGGAAACGGGCTGTCGTAGGCTCACCCAGAGCCCTTCCTTCTTGACCAAGCCTCCCTTTGATGATAAGACTGAGAGAACCGAAGGCCTGCCATTCTGTCATTGCTCTCCAGGGGGCAGTTTCGAAAGGAGGGAGCACTGAACCAGAGCCCAGAGCGCTGGGCTCCGTCTGCTGTGGCCACTCATAAGGATATGACACCTGGACTCAGTTTCCCTTTCTGTAAAATGGCAGCCATTGCATTCCCCATCTCTAATGAGACTTGTCCTCCCGAGCCTTAAAATTATGTTCTTGCTACGTCAGTCAGAGGTTCGAGGCCATATGCCTATTTCTTTTTAACAGGAGAACTAGACCTTGGTTTTATTTCTTATAGACCAAGCCAGGAGGCTGGCCAGTCTGAGATCCTTATGTGGGGGTCTGCCTAATGCCACACAGGAAGTTCAGGCACATTAGGAATGGAAACTGGGACCTTTTCTGTTGCTTTCAGTTGCTGAGGATGGCCGGTGTTGCTGCCTTTCCTCCTTACCAAGTCTGGGGCCTTTAACCTCCAGGACGCAGAGGCAGCCAAGGGGGCCAGTTCAGAGCACAGGTCAGAGTGTGCAGGGCTCACGAGTCCCATGCCTGCTACGTACTGGCTGTATGACTTTGGGCAAGTGCCTCGACTCCTTTTTTAATATCTTTAATCCCAAATAGAGAGAAGAATACAGCCACTGTCAAGGGCTGTTGTGAGGATGAAATGAAATAATGCTGGGGAAATATATGGTACTGTAGCTTGGTACATATAAGCATTCAGAAATGTTAAGTGATCGTGATGGTGCCAGTAGAGGATCAAAAATCATTCATTCATCCCAGCCTGTCCATCCTGCCCATCTTGTCCATCCATCCATCCACTCATCCATCCATCCATCCACTTACCCATCCATCCATCCATCCATCCATCCATCCATCCATCCACTCACCCATCCACCCATCCATCCACTCATCCATCCATCCATCCATCCATCCATCCATCCATCCATCCACTTACCCATCTACCCATCCACCCATCTATCCATCCACTCA